TCTTTCCATTTGTTGCCTCTTGTGCAACTTTGACACTACAGCTCCAACACTCCTCCTTGGTGTTAAAGCTACGGGAAGGAAGAAATTTACCAAAGCATTTGGAATCTGCCATTTGCAGTTCTTTATGCTTCGGTTTTGCTTTGTTGTTGCTGCTAAAGCATCTCCTGTAGCAGATCAGCTCCTCCTTCAATGTGGCAGCTTCATCTTGTTTTTAGATTTGTTGCTTTAACAAACTGTTTGGAGCTTTGCTAAGCTTTCCTGTAAGTTGCTTAGTTTTCTTCTTTGAATCTATAGCTTCCTCAGGGTCAAATCAGATTCAACCTTTTGGTGAGCATGACTTGATGCATGCTTTGAGTTTTCTTCCCTTCTCAGGCTGCACCCTTGACAGACTTTTTCCCTTTGGACTTGGCTGTAGAATCCATGGACACCTTCTCTTTGAATCTAGTTTTCCTCTCCTTGACCTCTCCCATGGTGGGACTAACATATGCCTCCATCTTCACAGCCTTTTTTGCTGCAAGATTTTGGTCGAGCAAGAGGGGTTTTATGTGAAGAACCCTCTGAAAACAATGAGAAAGGTGGGGTTTTTTCTGGTGTTCCCTCAAAATCACACTCAGAGGTCCTTCAAGATCATTGAAGCTTTGATACGATGTTGGGAATTTATGAGAAAAGGAAGGGACTTGGAGGAGAAGGAGGACACCCCGGAGTTCCCTCTTTGTTGAGGTGAAAACTCATTTTTTTCATTCATTGTTGTGCTATTATATAGCAGAAAATTCAGTATATAAACAGTACCTAATACTTATCCATTAAGAGAAAAATTTACAAAACATTTAATGCAAGATTACATTAAAAGTTTTGCTTCCATTTGTGTGGCTCCATGTGGCTGTTCTTGCTGCTACTTTGCAGCCTTCCATTTGCTTTCATTTGCATTACATTTCAGCCTCATTTCACCAACATTTCATCAACATTTTGCAGCATAGGTTGCTGCACTTTGCTGCTACCGTGCTTTGGTGCAGCTCTCCCTTCATTTCATTTTGCTGTCACCTATGCAGCTTTCTTTCCATTTGCTGCTTCTTGTGCAGCTTTGACACCACAGCGCCAACAACTCCAATGCTTGCCATGCTCTTCGGAAACTAAGAGTAGTAAAATTCTATCTGCCCCATTGCATTGAAAGCCTCTGCTAATCCGGTGAGGCAATGTTAAGCAATCAACCACTTTGCAGACATGTTCACCACTCCATACGGATTCTCTGCCAGCCCTTGTCTAAGTGCTGCTGCCCACCGCTGCTTCTCGACTTCGGCAGCCGGTGCCATTGCCAATGAAGAGATATTGCCAAGCCGATTCCCATGCGTTCTTCGAAGGTAAGTCCACGTTGTCTCGTGGCGGACATCTTTGAAAGCAGTGGAATTATGATTCGATCGTAGAGTGCTAGGCACAGTCAGGGTGAGGATGCCGATGCTCCGAATGATGAGGCAGGTAGAATTTTTAGTTCTTCGATGAAGCGCCGGTCCACGATGGAAGCTTGGAGGACCAGATATGATTGCTGGTTGATGGTTACGGCGATCATGATGCCAGCTGACCACATCGGAAGGACTTTAATCAATG